ATGAAAATTTAATAATGTTTTGGTAGTTATGTTCCAGTCTCAGTAATTTATTTAAAACAAGAATAACATAATACTGAAAATAATTAAAATAAAAAGAATAGGTGAAAAAAAATTGATAACATTTTAATATTAATTTGCAAGCTTTCGAATATTTTTAAGTCCTAAAATAACTTTTTGAATTTTATTTACTATGACCCTCCCCAACATTTTATAACAGACAATACATAAATATCAAACATTTTGCCATCCCAGTTTGACAATTTGGAGCACATACTAGAGTAATGTGTCACATTTTTTTATTTTTTTATGAAAAAACGGAAACTCAAATACAAGTTGAAACATTTTCGTCTTATTTCTCGTTGCCTCCTCACCCCATCCGTGTCTCCCAGTTCAGTGTTAAATGCATAATATATGGTGTAGTGCATGTCTTATTCACAGCGAGTAACCCCGCCTCGGGGCGTGCCACGAATTCGCTTAGGGAAACCCTGTATATCATTCAACCCTACCTAACCGCACTACAATCCATCTAAAAAATATCGACCACCCTTTAACACCGATAATAATCCTCAAAACAACATCATCTAATTGAGGTAATTGGCGCATCTTAACGTTTCGCGCGCTAGATCTTGTCTTGATTTGAGTATGCCGTTCGAAGATTAAAGATAACTCGCACGATCGCCCCAAGAGGGAGAGAAAGAGACGTTGCTGCTGCTGCTTTTAAAGGGCAGGGGTTGGTAAAAGCTTACAAGGGGATGATATACCGAACCGCATCGGCTTATACTTCTGTAAATTTGTGTAATGCGATTTCGGGCGAGGCTGCGAGTTATCAATACGATAGGGGGTTGGAAAGTATACAGGGGTTGCAGGGTGGTGCGTTTTTCCTGCAACGAAACTTGTACCACAACTACTGAGCTATCGTTTTCAAATCAAAAGTAACAAATTTTGAGTTTTGTGCACAGTTACAGGGTGATTCACCAAATACTTGTACTAAATTTACTTCACTTTCTGTGTTTATAATTTGTTGTAATTGTAATTGTTACTCAAATTTATTTAAATTTACGTAAAGTATGTTCCAAATTGCCGAGCATCGTAAATTTGGGAAACATACGAATTACTAATTTTCTTAAAAAACTTCTTAAAGACATTATTACAACACTTGTGTATAGTATTTGTTTCAAATTGCTTGTCTTTAATGAATAGTACCCGATTCCAATTGAGGTCTCTAATGCAGAATCAGAAATGAATTTCACATTAACTTTTTTATTTTTTTTCATTATACAGGGTCTCAGCAGGTTGAAAAAGTCTATTAGTGACTTTTAAATGGTAAAATTAAAAAAAAAATGTACCTATAGGACATTGATCGATACTAATCTAGTACATCACCTAAAATTATTTTCAACCATACAGCATGTCTCAAAAATAAGTTACGATACAAACTTGTGTTTTTTTAAATGAAACACTGTATATTTCTTTGCATTTTTGGATGTAGCCTTTTAAAACAATTTTTTTACGCTAAACTTTTATTAGTCGATTTCGCTTAGTTTTAGAAATAAGACGTTTTTTTGACGAAAACATGCACTTTTTAAAAATTTATTACACAAAAACTAAGACATCTAGAACAAATTTTTTCTTACTTCTGCAAAAAAAAAGTACAGAATTTAAAGCTGTGGCAATGTTTTAGTGTTTTGCATTTGTAAAGATTAATAAATTAAGAAGTTTGTTAAAAGTTAGATAACTTAAAAAAATTAAATGGAACACCATATTTTTTATTTTTACATCTAATAGATTGATAAATTGTCTATCTAAAAAAATAAACTTTTAATGTCTAGAATTGATAAATGAAAAGATATTTAACATTTAATATTAATTGTAGCAACAATGATTATCAATATCTGAGCATTGTTGATACTACAGCAACTATAGTAATTCCACCACGGATCACTTATTTGTTGATTTATCCAGAAATTGCAAAAGTCGTTATAAATACTGAAATTCGAATTATTTTATTGAAAAAATTAAAAATAATGGATTCAGTTTGACACGAATGTGATCATTAAAGTGATAATTCTTCCATCTCTTGTGCAACTGTGCACTTTTTAGCTACTGAATCAATAGTATTTTTTTTAATGTTTAACGTTAAATATCTTTTTAGTTATTGATTATAAACACCTAAGAAATAATTTTAGAAAGACAATTTAAAAATCTTTTAAATGCAAAAACAATAAATAGGGTGTTCTACTTAAATTTTTTAAGTTATTGAACTTTTAACAAACGCCTTCATTTTTTCATCTTTGCAAATGCAACACAATAAAAAAATGTTACAACCTTATAGCTTGTACCTTCTTCTTCGCGGTAGTAAAAAAAATATTTCTAGATGTCTTAGTTTTTGTGTAAGAAATTTTTAAAAAGTGCATTTTCGCCAAAAAAATTGTCTTATTTTTAAA